ATTATAAATGAAAGCTTTAATATTTCTCTTTTGACATGAGCAGTTTTTGTATAAACTACATTAACTTCAAAAACATGATCTTTCGCAATTAATTGACGGAATGGTAATATTCCACCACCAACACCAAAATAAATGGTTTTTGCTGCAATATAACTACATTTAAACAAAAGAAGATCAGGATGTATACTATATGCTTTTAAACTTGAAAAATTTTTTTAAAAAAAGATAATACAAAGGATACGCCACACCATTTGGATACTTCAAAGCATGTTTAATAACATTATAAAGTTTTGGAATAGAGCTAAGATTGTAAATTGTTTCGGAAGAAAGTATGATGTCATATTTTTCCTGATTTGAATGTAAATTTAATATATCCTACGATGATGAATAAATATTAGATACGATCAAGTATATTAAATAACAAATCATAATCTTATTTACATTTAATTCATTCCAGTCTCCTTTAAAAAATCTGCTATTTTTTAATTGATTCAAACAATTGGTTTCTTCTACAATATCTAATTCGGAAATTTCATCTGATTGCGGTCGTAATACTGTATTGATAAGTATGTTTGGTATTGTGACTAATTTTAAAACATCTTCATTATAATCTTGAAAATCAACGCAAAGAGAAGGTTGAGTAGAAAGTAGGTATATGCCTGGAAGTGCTGAACCACATCCCAACTTTTTTATATAAAACCAGTTTCAATAGACAGTTTGAATAGATCAAAAAATTATCAAGAAATAAATTCATCTTGTACAAAAATTTTGCACATCTACCTCCAGTATTTTATTACCACTAAGATTAATTTCTTTCAATTTGATTGAAAGATATTCAACCAGGTCTAATGAGCATTCCCATGTTTTTAGTCCACCTATAAAGGAGGATTATAAATATTAGTAAAATATTAGTAAAAGAATATTATTTTATTCAAATCAAACTTGAATTTTTAACCACCTTCATAGACACCATGCACCACATCATTATCATCAGTCAATTCTAGAATTTTTGGAGAACTGTATGAACTCTGGTTAACTTCATTTTCTAATTCATCATTCTGTGCTATTTGAAATTTTACATCGGAAAGACATCGTTTGTAGAAAACAATAGGCTCTTTATCATTCATTATAGATGTAAAGACGCATTCAATCATTAAACTTGATGGAAGTACAAAGGGCTAACAATTTTATAACTCTTTATTATTAACTAATATGTTGTAATTAATGTTTATTATAATAATAAAGGTTGGGATCGATTAATAGATTAATCGATTGATTTACAAAAATAATAATGAAATCTTTGCTAACAAAATGACCCTTTGAGGTTATATCATTTTGTTAGTAAAAGTCCCATGTATTAAATAGTACAACATAGAGTACAAAATAGAATATAATTAAATAATTAATCGATTAATCTATTAAAAGTAATTAAAACCTCTATTATAAGAAAAGAAATCCCACCAGGCTCGTAATGGCTAATTCACTTGCTGGAATATGCGAATTTTTATCCAATGGTAAATTATTGTCATTAAAATTTGAGAGTTGACTATTATTTTCCTCTACGTGTGTTTCAACTGATGGCTCTACTTCCTCAGACAAATCAAGGTCAGCTGACTGGCAAATTTCAAAGTATTTTAGTGTATATTATACACATCGAATACATTCTGGATACACAAATTTTAATATATCATGTCAAGTAAAAAAAGCCTTTAAAAAGTATTTATGTAGTTACCGAAAATTCAAAACGAAACATTATGACTGTATCTCATTTGAGATAACGAAGGAATAACACATTTTAAATATGTCAACGATGGAGATCAACTCTGGTTTACTGAATAATCCGATTGGATAAAAAAAAATTTATCGTGATTATCTTGGAGTTACAACAGCGATAGGGCCGGCACATCTGTGTGATATCAGGGTAATAAAAATATTGCCGTATCTTCATTGCGCATTAAACGAAACAATGTCCTTCTTTCTTCGCCTTTTGACTAGATCACGACATACCTTAAACAAACGTCTTCTCTCCTCGAATAAAGAATTTACAGATCATGGCAAATTTGATACGCCACCAAAAGGTGAGGGGTAAGGTAAATTTAAAAGAATCGGTTGATTCGCGCATCTTTTTTACACCTACCCATTGCACTATATTCATATAACAAAATTTCATATGGTAGGGTTACGATCAACTTTATTACACAAGAAGGTGATAAAAAAACAATAGTTGCTAATGAAGGAGAAAGTATTATGGATATTTCGCATACTCGTGACGAGATAGAACTTGAATGTAATTATCTTTAATGATATTAGCTCTTTGGTCTATATTTTTTTAATATTAACTTCTTAATAGGCGCATGTGAAGGATCACTAGCGTGTTCCACGTGTCATGTGATCGTAGCCCCAGAATATTATAAAAAACTGGAAGAACCAACAGACGAAGAGAATGACATGTTGGACTTAGCATTTGGATTAACCGAAACGTGAGGATTCTCGGAATATTTTATTCTTATCACTATTTGTTATATAACAAACGATTTGTTTAAATAATAAATAGATCCCGCCTTGGATGTCAAATTGTTATGAGAAAAGATCTGGATGGCATAACAGTTACCATACCTTCAGCTACTAGGAATGTACAATTGAAAGGTGATGATCTGAATAATTCTATAATAGACAAAAATGAGTTCATAAAGCTTAAATATTATAAGACTAACGGGAAAATATATCTATATTTAAAATCGGTCGACTACCGACTATTCTATCTAATATAGGATCAAAATTATCATAAAATAATGTTAAAATAAACTTTTACGTGTCAATAATAGTATTTATATTATTACTTTTTAAATTCATAGTGCTTTAATATTGTTTATTATTAGTATATACTGGAAAAAACCAGATGTTTGAAAATTTTATTCAAGTTACACTCAAGTATAGTGAGGTGAAAGGTCCAAATCTTCAATCTCGGCTTTAACGAGATGCTTTCCGGGGATCATAACTAGGCCAACGAATCTTTTTTCATCTATAAAGTGTATAAAGATTAGCTAAAGTGCTATACTTTTTTAAAATCAATGAATATTTTTGCTTAACTGTGACATTAGATCGTGTTTAAAAATACCGAGAAAAGCTTGAAAAAAAAACTTACCAGAACGAAATTCTTCAGTTTGTGACAAAATGATATTTTTATATTTATCTATGCACATAAAAGTTCCAAGAAATACACGCCCATCGGAGGCAGTAATTTTGGCTTTTAAA